CTGCCGTTAATGGAACCCTACCTGGACCCACAATTCAAGCTCGAGAGGGTGATACCGTTGTTGTTCATGTGTTCAACAAATCACCCTACAATCTTACTATTCATTGGTCAAATATTCTTCTCCCTCTCATTAATTAAATAAAACCTATACAAACTATATATTATTTAACCTTAATACAATTAATTAAATATTGTGATATGTGCTTTATATGGGTTTTTTTACTAAACAGGGTAAAAAAAATTAGAAAATTAGATTTTAGGCAGGGGGTCGAAAATTAGAAATTTTATCAAAATTGATTAAATTAGAAGGCGGGATAAGTTTTATGTAAAGAAATCATGTTTAGAAGTGCGAGTTCACGATTTTAGGGTTGATGTCCCATCTCGTTTTTAGATTTCTTCTTGCAAAACTCGTCCCATCTTCCACTATTTAGCTTATTTTGATAAACTGTGTAAAATCCATTTTTTTTACCCTTTTAGTAAAAAAGACCCTTTATATATTTATATATGCACACTTATTTCAAATTTCGTTCCTTCAAGCAAAAGTTTTTCCTATTAAGAAAAAGTAGAAATTTCAACGTTATTATCTTAAATTCACGCAAAAAGTTGACTACCCGTCTCACTCATATAAACAAAACTAAATTTGGATTCATTTTATAATGTATGATGCAGGCACGGAATTCTCCAATTTTTAACCCCATGGTCAGACGGTCCTGAATTCGTAACTCAATGCCCCATACATTCTGGCAGCAGTTACACCTACAAATTTAACCTAACGGGACAAGAAGGGACACTCTGGTGGCATGCACACTCGTCTTTTCTACGTGCTACAGTCTATGGTGCCCTTATCATTCGCCCTCGACAAGGACACTCATACCCTTTCCATAAAGTTTACAAAGAAATCCCAATACTGCTTGGTACTTTTTCCCTGAATTTATATTACCTTGCTTTATGCATCTTGTATCTGATTGATTCTTCTGTGTAGAAACTAAAAATAGAGATGTTTCTTTGAAAAAAAAATTTCTAAAGTTTATGACTTGTCATATACAAACACATTAATTCTTTATTTGAACACTTTCAGGAGAGTGGTGGAATGCTAACGTTGTAGAGGTTGAGCAGAATGCAACGGAGTCCCAAGCAGCGCCAAAGGACTCAGATGCGTATACAATTAACGGTTTACCCAGCGACCTCTATAACTGCTCTCAAGATGGTAGTAAAAACTCCATTCTCCAACAATCTTTCAAGTGTTATTCATTCCACAAAACCTGTTTTTTTTTTTTTATTTATAGTTTGATGGGTCTCTGCCATGAACGCAGGAACGTACCAGGTGAAAGTGAAGGCAGGAAAAACCTACATGCTGCGCATAATCAACGCTGCACTCAATGCGCAACATTTCTTCCAGGTAGCGAACCACACGTTAACAGTGGTAGCCATTGACGCTGCCTACACCAACCACTACAAGACCAACGTGCTAGTGCTTGCTCCGGGTCAAACCGTCGATGTCCTTCTCAGAACAAACCAACGCGTCCGATCTTACTACATGGCTTTCACCCCGTATCGTTCCGCGCCAGAAATAGCAAGCAACGCCAACATGACCCGAGGACTGATCGTTTACCAGGGTGCCAAGTCCAAAAAGCCAGTCATGCCAGACCTACCGGCCCAGACCGACACCCCGACGGCCCACCGGTTCTACACCAACATCACGGGCCTGGCCGGTGGACCCCACTGGGTCCCCGTTCCACACCATGTGGACGAGCACATGTTCGTGACTTTCGGGATTGGCTTCACGGTGTGCAATAATTTCTCAGGTGGCTGCACTGAGTCCACGCGTCCACTTTCCGCGAATATGAACAACGAGTCCTTCGTTCTGCCACGTGGCAAAGGGGTGTCGATGCTTGAAGCGTTTTACCGTAACAACGTTTCCGGCGTGTACACTAGGGATTTTCCGATCCGGCCTCCGGTTGAGTTTGACTACACCAACCCTAACATCTCGAATGCGATGCCTTTTGCCTTCCAAATCGCACCTAAATCAACGAAGGTGAAGACGTTGATGTTCAATTCGACGGTTCAGATTGTGCTTCAGAACACGGCCATCCTCGCCGTGGAGAACCACCCCATTCACATTCACGGTTTCAACTTCCATGTTTTGGCTCAAGGGTTTGGGAATTACAACGCCACCAGAGATGAACCCAAGTTCAATCTTCGAAACCCTCAAATTCGTAACACTATTTCTGTTCCCGTCGGAGGATGGTCCGTTATCAGATTCCAAGCAAATAATCCAGGTTCGTTAATTTCTTCCATCAAATAATCGAACAAAAATTAACTTCAAATCTAAATTTCTTGTATCCATTAATTAAACATGATTGTGTTCGCAGGTGTTTGGCTCGTGCATTGCCATTTAGAGACTCATTTGCCGTGGGGGCTAGCCATGGCTTTCGAGGTTGAAAATGGACCATCTCCTTCATTCTCAGTGCCACCACCTCCATCTGATCTTCCCAAGTGCTAAACTCACCACATACGCTTTTGCACCAAGACAAAGACAAAAACATACATTGGTTAATGTTTATACTATTTTGTAAGGTGTTTTTCCAATTTCATTTGTTTGATTCAGAAAAATAAAGTGGAATACAGGACCAAAGCTATTCTTTCAACTGTGCCACTTGATTCTCCATTGTACTCCCAACATGATAAATTTTTTTTTTCTCATTTGTTTTTGTCGTATTTTTCCTTTGGATAACATAGTTCCTACCGTCATAATAATATTGACACAATCAAATTGTTGTTATAGTTTACGTTTGAGTAAGTTTGAAACCCAGCTTTTTCCCTATGTGTTAATCGTTATTGTCTTTTCATTTTGAACGTGAATTAAACAACACTAATTACTTCTCGATAATTAATCCTTAAACAACATGTGTAGTTTGAAGTAGCATATATTAGTAATTGAGGAATCAAAATTGTGAAATAATTAATTTATCTCTAGAAATTAAATAAGAGTCTAAGTGTTTCAAAAGTCTCAGAATATTTTCTCTTAAATAGGTTTATTTTAAAATTTTGAAATTAGAAATACACGACCAAAATACAAGATTTCTTTTAATAATAATAATAATAATAATAATAATGTAAATTACTCATTTATATCATACTTTTCAAAACTAATTAATATAATTAATAGCCGTGTCGTTTAGTGTAATAGTCCACTACGTACTATGATTTTTTTAATGAATATTTTTAATATTAATAAAAATTTGATAATATCTAAGTATATATATACGACCATGAACACTGTTTACCTATCAGCTGAATAAAACAAATATTATTTAAAAAAGACTAATTATATATTTATACAAACGGAACGAATTTTTATATTATAACGTCTCAATTTAAGACCCTCCAAATATATATTATGAAAAAAAAATGTCAATGATATAAAACAACACATGTTCTTAAAAAAAGTTATCATCGTTATCAAAATATATAAAATAACTAACTAGTCAGAGAAAATTTATTTACATTAGTTCCTTGTAAAAGATATGTATGAACCTGCCCCACTCGTGTTTGTTAATTTTTTTCCCGTTGGAATGTGAATTCGGTTGAATCGTTGACAAAGCACCCACATTCTGACTTTCATTACAACTTATTAACCAAACTTCTTCATACGTCTGCGTGTACAACGCGCTTAGACAACTTGATTCTGTTATTAACAACTATATATGTCAAAGGTTACCTAAGTTTGAAATCGTGATAATTAATTAGTGTTAAATAAACTAGGGTGTTTAGTACTATGGTTGTGATAATGTTTGTACATTTTACCCTCTCATGTTGGCAGAAACAGTTTGTTTATATATTCATATTTTTATGCAATTTCTTGTTTTCTAAAACACACCTAATATAACTTGCACACAAAAGAAAATCACTTTTTAACCATATTTTAATACAAATAAACAGATACATTCAAACAAATTTGTGATTTTGGTAAAGATGATAAAACAGATTAGTGTTTTGGTGTATCTCGTTTTTAATTTGTAAAAAATAAGATGAGATGTACTGATCCACTCTAATTAAAACGAATTACAGATTTTAACCTGTACCACAATGGTTGAATGAATGATATAGTGAATCAGTCAAATTTTTTTATGTAAAATTTATATATATATATATATATATATATATATATATATATATATAAAATTATGTGAATAATTTCTAAATTTTTATTTATTAATTAATTTATTATTAGATAAATTGAAAAAATTATTATATTTATGTTAAATAACTAATTATAATTAATTATTTAAATTTAATTGATTAATATTTATAAATTAAATTATAATATTATAATATATTTACGTATTTTAATAATATATAACAAATATAATATTTTAATTATAATTTTTTAAATTTTATAATATATAAATATTTTTTTAAAACATTCCAACACGTGAGTTCGATCCCTCCACTTTGATCCATTGGATTAATCGATTAGATAAAAAGGGTCAAAAGGGATATACAAATTAAAACTATTAATCAATTTATTATTTTTTAGGTTTTAATCATTTTTTCAGTATTATATATATATATATATATATATATATATATATATATATATATATATTAAGTACTTTATTATGATTTCCAAAGCTTTTTCTACTATAAGTTAAACTCTTCTCACCCCCGAAACTTTAACCCAAGGAAAACAAGGGCGATGTTAGTTTTAGCCTAGTCAGAATCAGAGGCTGATCACAATCAAAACAAGTTATTGACCAAGTGGTATTAACTATTTCCCACTGTGTGGATGCTTCTGATGGCTAACTTAAACACTTGTGTTTAGCAAAATAACGATGATTTTCTTCCAACATGGAGAAAATTCAAATGCTTATGTCAACATCCATATGCAATATCATAATTACATTTGCTGCAAAACACGTAAAGTCTCAGGGGTTTCTATATATAGACTAGCAATTTTGGCTCCCAAACATTGGACTCTCTTGCTTAATTTCTTTAGTCATGAAGCTTCTGTTGTTTACTTTGCCCTTCGCTTTTGCTCTTTTGCTTGCATCTTCCTTCGCTTCTGGTGCTGTTGTTGAACACACTTTCAATGTATGAGCTCCTTCTTTCTTCTCCTTTTATTTTCTTTAGAAAAATCTATAGAGACGGATAGACAAAGAAGCTAACTTCTGATGCTTGCATTTTCATTTTCTATTTTTGTTTTCACTTTTTAATCACTCTTTTTCCATTTCAATAATAACAAATTTTGGGTCTTCTTTTTATTTCAAAATTGTAGTTATTTTAGCTTCCTAAGCCTTTTTTTTTTCAATATAAATTCCTAGAATACTACTTTTTATTGAAAAGCTACACAAACCTTAAAATAAATAGGTGATAGTAGAATGTACTTATTATTTATAAAACTTTTCACTTTCTCTTCTCATCTAGGTGTAACCAAATCCTAATTATCATTGTGAGTGGTTAAAAATATAGAATAATTTATTACAATAGTTAAAGTAAAAATATTTTCTCAAATAGTAGAATATTTCTTAATTAGCACTAGTTTGTTGTAACATTAAAAGACTATATTATTCTAGAATTATGAATATAGAAACATTCGGTTTTTTCCAATATGTTCCTGATTCCAATGATTCAAACACAAAATAGAAAAAAAAAAATCTGTTTTCAGTGTTTCTAGTACATATATTTGAAAATAAATAACAAGATGAAAACTGGGTGACATTATTATGATTTAAAAGTATAAACAGAAAAATGAAAACAACAAATAAAAACCCTAGAAAACTCTCCCTTGAAGGCAATGAACTTTACTACACAACATTATGTGAATAATCGAAATCATAATATACTATTATTCATTTTTTCTTGTAATTTTAATGTTCTCATTTCAAGTGAAAATTCTGAATGAGAAAGATATAAATCTTATACAAAGCCAAGCTTGTAGTTGATCAAAAAGTAAAATTAAGTAGTAATATCATTTTATTGTTCTCTATTGTATGAGATTCATTGAAATCATGCATATTCATTGGTTGCAGATAGGTAACTTCACTGTGTCGCGTTTGTGCAATAATCAAGTGATTACAGCAGTAAATGGAAGCCTACCAGGACCAACCATTAACGTTGAAGAGGGTGACACTCTTGTGGTTCATGCAATTAACAATTCACCCTACAATATTACCCTTCATTGGTAAAAATCAATTCTCGATCGTACACACATATTCAATATTTTTATCAATTAGTGTTGAAAAATCAATTGGAGAATTTTTTTTTTTTGTTATCATTATTCTCAATAAGTTGACTATGAAGTTTTACCTCACGCGTATTGGAAGAGATTTAGTTTTTTTTTTTTTTTTAAATACGTTTAAAGTCTAAGTCAAGGTTATACTTTTTTTAAACTGATGAAAAACTCCTATATCATCCCTGTTAATTTAATGAAAAAACTAGACTTTTCTTGGCACCGACCTGTTGTGACATATTTTCAATCATTTGAAAAACTAAATCCAGAAAAAACGACTTTCAGGTTTCTTCTAAATCTAACTCTTCTAGTTTCGAGTTGCAGTTTTTCTACGTAGAAATGTGACTAACATTTCTGTTATAATATTTTGACTCAATGATACGTATCAAAATGATTAATTATTTGACAACTATGCAGTTTCTGTCATAATATTATTATATTACATGCAATGGATGATTCTAAAAATTTAGGTATCTTTCATGATATACATGCAGGCATGGAATTTTTCAACTTTTGAGTGCTTGGGCAGATGGTCCTGAATCTGTGACTCAATGTCCTATACGTCCTGGTGGAAGGTATACCTATAGATTCAACATAACAGGACAAGAGGGTACCCTATGGTGGCATTCCCACTCTTCTTTTCTACGTGCAACTGTTTATGGGGCTCTCATCATTCGTCCTCGAAAGGGAAATTCATACCCTTTTCCTTCAGTTTACCAAGAAGTTCCCTTATTACTTGGTACTTTTTTTATGTCTTTCTATTTTCTTTTTTATTTCCTTTAATTAATAATAAACTAATAATATTATTGTTGAAATCTCACGTATTATATATATATATATATATATATATATATATATATATATATTTATTTATTTATTGAGAAAATTCATACTGTATAATATATAATTTAGTATAATCATCATTTTACTAAATCAATTTTATAAGATTGACTGAAGTATTTTACTATTTATAAAATGTTATTAAAGTTAATTCTAAAATTATTAAAACAACAATTATTAATAGCAGTGGACTTAACAACTTACCATTAGATCAACATTGAGTCACTCTTCTCGATATAAGAAGGTACAATATATATATATATATATATATATATATATATATATATATATATATATATATATATATATATAAACTAATTACTTTAGAATCTTAACTTATTGTGTGCATTTTAATAACTCTATAACACTTAGTGACTTAAAAAGTTGATGATTAATTGCAGGGGAGTGGTGGAATGCTAATGTTGTTGATGTGGAGAATAATGCAACTGAAACTGGTCTTGGTCCAGTTGATTCAGATGCCTACACCATTAACGGGTTGCCTGGTGATTCATACAGTTGCTCTCAAAATCGTAAGTCAACTCTTCAATATAGTTTTGGAAATCAAATTTTTTTCATTCTATGTTTTTGAAGATTTTCAATGCGTGAAGAAGATCTTGTTTTCTTCGATTTTTAATTATCCCACGAACAAATTGACCGTGTCTAATACGTGAAATTCACGTATTTGTCCACATCAATGTGATTATTTTTCAAAACCTACTATTATTGGAGTTTAAATGTCAATGCAATGTAAAAAAAGTGTACTATTAACTAATCAAAACCCAATTGAATATAACTTTGACATGATTTTTAAATAAATAAATATATTATACATTATATATAATTCATGAATCAAAGAAATTTACTACCACTAAAAAATGATTATTAGTAAATAAAAAAGTCAATAAGCATATCATACAACACAAATTGCGTTACGTTTTATTCTCTCAAACACCTGTTTCACATTTGAAGTATGAAATTTTGCAGAGACATACAAACTCAAAGTGAAGCAAGGAAAAACCTATTTGCTACGAATAATCAACGCTGCGCTCAATGAGCAACACTTTTTCATGATAGCCAACCACACTTTCACAGTGGTAGCCATGGATGCTTCCTACACGGAACCCTACAACACTCAAGTTATAGTCCTTGCCCCAGGCCAAACAGTGGATGCACTCATAACCACAAACCAAACCCTAGCTTCTTACTACATGGTTTTCACCCCATACCACTCCAACCCTAATGTTACAATCAACGGTAACATAACACGAGGGTTGGTCGTTTACGACAATGCCACGACAGCGTCATCACCGGTGATGCCAAACCTCCCAGCCCAAACAGACACATCCACGGCCCACAAGTTCTACAGCAACATCACGGGCCTGGCCCACGGGCCCCACTGGGTCCCCGTGCCACGTCACGTGGACGAACACATGTTCGTGACTTTCGGGATCGGGTTAGACCATTGCAACGAGACGGGACCAAACGCGTGCGGTGGACTAAACTTCAGACTCTCGGCAAACATGAACAATGAGTCGTTTGTTTTGCCTAAGGGGCTTTCAATGATGGAGGCCTTCTATCGAAACGTTAGCGGTGTGTACACGAGAGATTTTCCGAGTAATCCTCCGTTTGTGTTTAACTACACCGATCCAGCGTTGGAGACGAACGGTACGGACATAGCGTTTGCGCCGAAATCGACGAAGGTGAAGAGTTTGAAGTTCAACTCAACGGTGCAAGTTGTGCTTCAGAATACGGCTATCCTTGCCGTGGAGAATCATCCCATTCACCTTCATAGCTTCAATTTCCATGTCTTGGCTCAAGGGTTTGGGAACTATGACGCAAAAGTTGATGAATCGAAGTTCAATTTGGATAATCCTCAGATTCGTAACACGGTTGCAGTGCCGGTGGGAGGATGGGCCGTCATTAGATTCCAAGCAAATAATCCAGGCATGTGGCTTGTGCACTGCCATTTGGAGACTCATTTGCCATGGGGGTTAGCCATGGCTTTTGAGGTTGAAAATGGACCTCAACCATGGGTGCTGCCTCCGCCACCAGCTGATTTGCCTCAGTGCTAAGTGAAATATGCACCAATAACTCACACCCTTATAGATTAAATTTACAATAAAAAGGTGAAGATTTTATCATATTTTTTTATCTACTGAGTCCATTGATAATGTGAATTCCTGATTCAATTTGTTTGACTGGGAATAAATAAACAAAGTCTGATAATGAGATAAAGGTTACCTTACTCATTCTTCTAAGATCATGTACCATGTTAAGTAAGATGTAATTGATGTTTATTAATATTTTTTTTTTCTCATGTTTATCAATAATTTTTTTTTCTCATTTAGCACATCTATAGTTTAAATACTGTTAAACTCTTAACATGATACGAGAATAAAAACCTAACTTGGTTTTGTGTTGAAATCTCAACCTGACACGAGAATACAAAACCTAACTTGTTTTCGGTTTCTTTCAATGAATACAAATTTTATTTTACTAATATAATTCTGTAAAATATAACTACACATTATATTTTTAATATGATGTCCAAATTTATTACTGTGATACTTATTGAATTACTTTTATAAAAGATATTAATGTAAGAATTATTATAAATTAGTATAAAAATAAATTATAAAGTATAGATATATTAATAAATTATTACATGCTTATTTTAAATTTATATATAAATTAATTTTATTTATTTTTATTTATTTTATTAAATAATTAATTCATATTAAATCATAATTTCATTTTAGTTTATATTTATTCTAATTAAAATTGGATATTTTGTTCCTTCGTTGCTTTATTTTTTTTTAATTACTCAAAAAACATATCAATTAAAATATTTTTATTCATTTTTCATTATTTTTTTCACAATTATAATAATTTTACTTTATCTTTCTCTTTTTTTTTTACCCTTTCATGGAAACTCAAGTTAACATTCTCAACTACCTCCATAACCAACCTCTCAAATCACACTTATTAAAACAAAAGTAAAACTTTTTCGAAGTTAATTATGGATGATAAAATAAAAATATAGAAACATTTATATATTTGTTTTATGTATAAAATAACAATAATTTTATATTAATGGCATATAATAATTTTTTTTAATTAATGTAAAAGCAGTTTAGTTTTTATTTTGATCTTATAATTTTTTTAAGAAAAAGAAATTTATTTTTAAAAAACATTAATGTTTATAAAAAATTAAAATCTTATATAAAACTTACCATCATTTCAAGTTAAATATTATATTAAATTAATATTTAATTATACTAATTAAATTATTTTTAAGTTATGAAGTTAAATGTAAATAAGAAATTATAAAAATATGAATATGTATAAAATATATTCATTAAAATAAAGTTTACACAAATTTAGTATAAATAGTTATAAAAATGTATGTTTTTTGTAGGAAGTTGAAATAAGTTTTTAGACACTCTAAAATATGATTTATAAAAATTTTATAGAATGAACAATAAAAAAATTACTGGAATGGCTCATCGAAAATATTATAAAAAATAAAATATATTCATTATAGAATTTTCTTTTAAGTATAATTTTGTAAAAAAAAAAAAACTTCGAAATATAGTCTAGAATGATGAAATTAAAAATAAAAACTCAAATGGAACAATCCAAAGAAACTAATTTTATTCTCCTAATCCGAAGGAATCTAGATATAAACCACAGAAGTTAACAAAATACTATTTAAATAATTCATTTTTTTAGAAATTAAACTTATGACAATATATATCAATTGCAAATGACAAATTGCAGATGATGAATTTTCATAGAATTACAAAATAAAAAGTATAGTTTTTTTTTTACATTTTTAATACAAAATTATATATGACATAAAATGCAAGTGTTAAGACTTACCAAATTATAGGTGTTGAACATTCAAGGACTTGATGTTGCAAATAATGATCATGAAGAATGTTGATTTTGATGATGATCCAAGAGCTTAAAGACTTAGAGTATTGAAGATTGAAGATTGATGTTTTCTCGTATTGTAATAACTCGTTTTAGTTTGATTGAGTCCGTAATTATAGAGTCTAAGATAGCCAGTACATAGTCTATAACTTAGAAGCTTCAAAATGCTCAAATTTATCATGCAGGCTCGGCTTTAATCGATTATATAGGAAATAATCGATTAAAACAAGTGAGAAAACCATTTTCAAGCATATACTCACTGTTTTAATCGATTAAAACATCAAAATAATCGATTAAAGGTCAAATAATCGATTATTTCACCAAATAATCGATTAAACCAGAGAGGATTGGGTTCTGCGTATTTGGCTTCGTTTTAATCGATTAAAACTCCATTTAATCGATTATTTCGATCTGTTTTTGTTTTTAAATTTCAAATTAACCCTATTTTCGAAAACCCAATTACCAAGAACCCTAGTTTCGAAATCCCCAATTCCTTAACCCTAATTTCCCTACTTAAACTCGCTTTGGCACTCGGAAAATTTGAACAACTAAAGAACAACTCTTTCCATACAAAAGTTAAGTGCCGTGAGTGCCGTAGAACTGTTTGTTGCAAGGAAAGGGGCTTTTGGAAACTCGGTGTGAGGCTAGAAGCGATAAGAATCACTAAGTGGAGTTCTTAGTGGATTGAGTGCTGTGCCGTCTCCGGGAAAGCTGTTCTTCGGGGCTTTTGGAAACTTGGTGTGAGGCTAGAAGCGATAAGAATCACTAAGTGGAGTTCTTAGTGGATTGTGTGTCGTGCCGTCTCCGTGGAAAGCTGTTTATCATCTCTTGTGGATTTCAAGAGAGGTTTTATCTTTAACTTTATCTTTTTCATTATAATTTGTGTTGTAACAACTTTGTTCTTAGTGACAGCGTTAATCCTCTTTTGAGTGATTAGCAACCGGACGTAGGGTCTTTTGATCCGAACCAAGTATAAACCTACTGTGTAATCTTCTCTACTCTTCTCTATTTACATTTACACAGCTTTTTAATCGGTAAAATTTGGGGAAAATTTTGAAAACCTAATTTTTATTAAGAAACCAATTCACCCCCTCTTGGTTTTTTGTCCGACCACGCGAACATTCTCGCTGCGCGATTCTAACAAGTGGTATCGAGCTTGCTTTGATAGTCATTCAAACTTTTCGAAAATGGCCGGACAAAATCAAACTTTTGCCGAAGGTGCGTCTATCAACGGACCCCCACTTTTTACGGGTCAAAATTATCCTTTTTGGAAAGTACGTATGCAAATATTTTTAGAGTCTCGTTGATAGAGGTGTTTGGGACACAATTTTAAACGGTCCATTTGTTCCTAAAATTACGTAGAACGGTGTTGACGTTCTTAAACCTTTTGATAGATGGACTCGCCGACGAAAGTCGAAAAGTACAATTTGATGTTAGGGCTAGAAACATTATTTCATCTCGCTCTAACCCTTGATGAGTTCTACGGAATTTCTATTTGTAAAAGTGCACAGGAAATGTGGGAAATGCTTAGAGTAACCCACGAAGGAACCGACGACGTCAAAAGAGCACGTAAAAATTCTCTAATTCAAGAGTACGAAAAGTTCCGGATGCAACCAGAGCGAAACGATATTTGACGTACAAAAACGTTTCACTCATATCGTGAACCATCTCACCGGACTAGGTAAAATTTTTGACGTTGATGAATTAAATGTTAAAATTTTGAAATCTCTCGGATAGGAAATGGCAACCAAAGGTGACGGCCATCTCGGAGTCACAAAATCTTGCCACTATGTCTATGGCGGCGTTGTTTGGAAAGCTTAGGGAGCATGAACTTGACCTTGGAAGACTAAATGAGGAAGAGGGTCAATATCAAAAGAAGAACCTTGCTTTCAAAACCGAGATTTCAAAAAGCAAAAATAAGAAAGAAGAAGAAGAAGACTCCGAAAATGATGAAGAAGAGATGAGTCTTTTTATAAAGAAGTTCACCAAGATGATGAAAGCAAAAGGAAGACATCCTTTCAAAGGTAAGGAAAAGGTAAAAGAAAATTCTTCCGTTAATATAAAATGCTTTGGTTGTGGTGAAGCAGGGCATATAAAGATCGAATGCCCAAACAAGAAAAATGATGAACACAAGGGCAAAAAGCAATTCAAGAAGAAAGCATATATTGCTTGGGATGACAAGTGATTCAAATTCAGAATCAAGCGACTCGTAAATTGAAGCAAACATTTGCTTGATGGCAAATAACAACAATTCTTCGGATTTTGAGGTTAGTGATTCCGATTCATCCTCTAGTGAAGAAAATGACCATGATGAATTGCAAAATGCTTATAATGAGTTATTTACTGCATTTATGGATATGAAAAAGGAATATAAAGTTGTAAAGAAGAATCTAAGAAAATCTGAAAAGGAAAATGAGTCCTTAAAATTGAAAATTGCATGTTTAGAAGAAAAGGAGGTAGCCAATACGAAAATAGTATGCTTAGATGAAGATAAGGACTTAGCATGTGCAAAATGTAAAGAGCATGAATATGATATAGATATTCTTAATCATTTGCTTGACAAAGCCGAAAAAGAAATTGATGATCTTAAGAAGAATGAAATGGTTTTTGCTCAAAATAATGTAAATCATAGAGTTCCTTTGAAAAAGAGTAAATCTAAAAAGAAAAGAATATGGGTAGAAAAAGGAACTAGAGCATGTCATGTTAATAATGTATCTTATTCTAAAGCTACTCCAAATGCATGCTTCTATTGTATGAAACAAGGTCACACTTCAAATAAGTGTAAAATTAAACATTTTGGTATTCCAAAAGGTAAATATATTTGGGTTCCAATAGTTAAATAAATCTGTTTGTCTCTTTTATTTATTCAAAGAAAATGGATCATTTTGTATGTTTTAAACAAAATGCTTAGGTAAAATCATTTTATCTTTTTCTATCGCATAAAGATTCTTCTCTTAAAGATTTTTGCGAGAAGCCTCTAAAATTGTTTTAAACGAACTTCAAAATAAAGTATTTTTACAAAATCTTTCTTAAAACATGTTTTTAATCGATGCAGCTTTGAAAGAACCAAATAAAATCACTTAGAGTGGTCAAAGAAGTGTTTTTACAGCATTTTAATCGATACAACTGGTTTTTA